ATCTGCCACCAACTAGGGTTCAAGCCACCATGTTTTATGGCACTTTCTGCCTGTGAAACAAACATCAATTTTTCTGGCCGCTGCTACAGCAGCGGCTGCAACAATACCGAATTTTTCAGGCATGTGTACATTTTTAGGCCCTCTGGTGCTGCACTGTGGCTTCAAAACTTTTTTCACTGTTATAGATTGAATAGCAGTTAGTTGTCTGCAAGCGTCAGAAAGTCACCCCCCTTGCCCGGCGTCTGACACCTGGCTTGTCTGAACTATTAGCCCGCCAGCTTTTACCATACAATCTGGTGGAGTCTGAGGCGTTCAAAAAATTTGTAGCTATTGGGACACCGCAGTGGAAGGTACCCGGCCAAAATTTCTTTGCGCAAAAGGCAATCCCCAACCTGTACTCGACTGTGCAAAAGGAAGTAATGGCATGTCTGGCACACAGTGTTGGGGCAAGGGTCCATCTGACCACTGATACCTGGTCTGCAAAGCAGTGGGTACTTTATAAATGGCTCCACCTGCCACCCGTACAGCAACACAGTCTCCAGTTAGGAGGACCGACCAAGCATCTTCTTCCATCTCCCTGTTCCAAAAATCGCTGCCATATACACGTCCACTGATAGGAGACGCAACAGGTATTAAACTGATAAGAATAGTACTAAACACACCACTCCTATCTGGTGGCACATTAGATTGCACGCGCAGTGCTCCTATGTAGGGGGAACAGTCTCTATTCCGCTCTTTGTCAGTGTGTATCAGGGGCTTTGAGGACGGGGAACAGTCTCTATTCTGCTCTGTGTCAGTGTGTATCATGGTCTCTGAGGACGGGGAACAGTCTCTATTCTGCTCTGTGTCAGTGTGTATCATGGTCTCTGAGGACGGGGAACAGTCTCTATTCTGCTCTTGCATTTCTATTTCTTCTTAGATAACAAAAAAATTCTGAGACGACGTTGGCAGGGCTATTCACTTGTGTGATCTGTCATGAATTCTCATTTGAATGTTAATTTGAACTGTGGGGCACAAGAATTTGAATCTGACAAAATGGCTGCCATATACACGTCCACTGATAGGAGACGCGGAAGGTATTAAACTGATCAGAACAATACTAAACACACCACTCCTATCTGGTGGCACATTAGCTTGACCGCGCAGTGCCCCAAATTTGAAGTAAGAGGACCGACCAAGCACCTTCTTCCATCTCCCTGTTACAGAAATCACTGCCATATCCATACAAATTGTACAGAATGCCCCATCCTGGTGACGAGGACCACGCAGGTCCTCCAGGACTACTTCAACACCAACGAAACCGAGGACACAACACCCCTAACATGCTGGGAGGCACACAAGGCGGTCATACGAGGTCACTTTATTGCACACTGCTCGGCACGGAAGAAGGCACACGCGAAAACAGTAACAGACCTCAGCACGGACATAGCCCTTCTGGAGAACCAACACAAACGGACATTGGACGCCACAATCTATAGGGATCTTCTCCATAAACGCTCCCAGCTAGCTGAGCATATGAACCGCACCATCCAACGGTCCTTTCAGCACTTCCGACATCTAGTACACGAACACGGGAATAAATGCAGCAGACTACTCGCAAATCTATTGAAGCGCCGTAGGACGCATCTCTACATTAGCAAAATTAAAGACCCGTCCCAGCGGATGCATCACCTCCCAGACCAGATCTCCACCACGTTCCTTAACTACTACCGAGACCTATACAACATACAGAAAGAGGCACGAGACGCCGCAGAAACCCGCGGCCTCAATACCATCCACACATACCTGGCATCAGCAGGACTACGCCAACTAACGGACCCTGACCGCGAACTATTGGACGCACCCATTGCCCCAGAGGAAATCTCGATTGCCATCAAAAAAGCGCAGACGGGCAAGTCGCCAGGACCAGACGGTCTGCCGTTACAATATTATAAGACCTTTCAGTCCGAACTCCTCCCGAAACTGCATAAGGCCCTGAACTCAATCCGCGACGGGGCGACGCCCTCGGCCCATTTCGCAGCAGCAAACATCACGCTCCTCCCAAAAGACGGCAAAGACCCAACTTCCTGCCAGAGCTATCGTCCGATCTCTGTCCTCGATGTCGATATCAAGCTACTCGCCAGCGTGCTGGCCAACCGCCTGGCACCTCTCCTACCAGACCTGATACATCCTGATCAGACGGGTTTCATCCCAGGCAGAGAGGTCAGGGACAGCACCATACGGGCGCTGAACCTGATCTCCGTAGCATCACAATCCGCACGGCCATCCCTACTCCTGTCGACAGATGCCGAAAAGGCCTTTGATCGGGTGGACTGGAACTTTATGTTCGAGACCCTCCGGACCATAGGCATTGGACCAGGATACATTCAATGGGTGGAAGCGCTATATACCACCCCGACGGCGCGGCTCAGAATCAACGGAGCACTCACAGACCCGTTCCAAATTGGGAACGGGACGCGCCAGGGCTGCCCCATGTCACCCATACTATTTGCACTCACCCTAGAACCCTTCCTCAACAAAATCCGCAGCAACGAGGAGATCCACGGATTGCAAATAGACCAAACGCACCACAAAGTGTTGGCCTATGCGGACGATCTTCTTTTCCTAGTCCAAGAACCCACCAGATCACTACAGGAAATCAAACAGGAATTTGAGACCTATGGCAGGATATCCAACATGCGCATCAACGACACCAAATCGGAAATTCTAGGCCTAACAATCCGATACCCGCAACAACTCGAACTTCGGCAACGCTTTCCATACCGATGGTGCACGACCAAGATGAGATACCTGGGGATATGGCTCACGCAAGACACAACGGACCTCTACTCTCACAATTACCTACCGCTTCTGCGAACAGCACAGGCCGAACTCCAAGCATGGAGTACAACATACATCTCTTGGCTGGGACGTATAAACGCGGTAAAAATGACCCTGCTGCCCAGGTTCCTATTTATCTTCCAAACGGTACCCATAGAGGCGCCAAAGTCATTCTTCACCACCGCCCAAGCCATAATCCGTAATTTCATTTGGAAAGGGAAGCCCCCCCGAATCGCCCACACTCAGCTAACCCTCCCCAAACTCAAAGGGGGCCTGGCTCTTCCAGACCTGCGGAAATACCACCTAGCGACACACCTCACTCGAATAATCAACTGGTCAGTAAAGACCAGGGACAAACTCTGGGTACACCTGGAGGCAGATGCCACCAAATGCGACCTCACGACCCTCCCATGGATCATGAAAGAAGCCACCAAACAACTACCGCACGCCAACCCATTCGTGAAAGCCACCCTATGCATCTGGCACCAGACTGGCCCCAAACACTATCTTACGACCAACCCCGGCCCGCTACTTCCCTTAAAAGGCAACCCGGACTTCCCGGCGGGCGGCATGGGCCCAAATGCGCGCCCAGTAACCGGCAACACGACTCTCCGAATGGTGGATATCATTTCACCCCCATTCACAATCAGGCCGCTAGAGACCATCTTCCCGGACCAGAGACACACATTCGCTCACAAGCTGGCGAGGGAACAAATGTCCCACTATGCACACTCCATCCCCCAGCGCCCATACTTGACAAGAGATTGCACAGAGTTTGAGACCCTGTGCAGACAGGACAAAGCCCCACCGAGAGCAATCTCCCTGATATACAAATTCCTAGTAACGAACAGATATCTCTTGGCCCCCCCATGCATCAGACGATGGGAAGAGGATCTAGAAGAAGAACTCAACGACGCGGACTGGGACAAAATCATCTGGCACGTTCAAAAGACCCCGAGCTCAGCTAGACATCAGGAAAACTCATACAAAATCCTCACCAGGTGGTATATCACCCCCACCACCCTCCATGCACGCCACAACTCAATACCGGCCACGTGCTGGCGATGCGGAGAGGAGGACGGAACATTCCTCCACATCTGGTGGGGCTGCACCCTCATCCAGCCGTTCTGGGAAGCGATACGACAAGTCATCCACACAGTGACGGATGACATCCCACCCATGTCACCAGCCTTCTTCCTACTACACCACACGACAATGCCCACTCCGACGTATAAAAAATCAGTGGTGCCACGCCTGCTCAATGCGGCGAAAACGACTATCCCCATATACTGGAAACAATCACGTGCCCCCCCACTCAGACACTGGGTGGAGGAGGTGGAAGACATAAGAAAATTCGAGGACCTGAAAGCTACCACGGCAGCGGCGAAAGAAAAGCAAATGACTAGATGGCTCCACTGGATAAGACACATTGCCACAGATGAATTCCTACAATACCTGAACCCACCTTGAAACCTAGGATACGCAACCACGAGGCATCCGGGGGCCTGCACCTGGGGCGACATGAAGGCGGGTCACCCTCAACCACACCCCTCCCACCCCCCCCTAGCGGGTTCCGACCTCGCACCACTCACCCACTGACAGGAGGCAACTAGAACCATACTGCGGACCGGACCCCGTAGGGCCACAGCCCCCAGGGCAACAGGCAGTTACCCACGGACCTGCCTCATCCGAGACTCAGACCCACCCCCCACCACCGCATGAAGACATGACTCCACGACCACACACTACCACAGAGGAGGGGGCACCACTGCACCCTACGACCAGCCCACACGAGCCATATACCCCCACAGGCAACCCAAACGCAAATGCAGGCGACAATAAGCACCAGAAGGCAGCGATCCGAGACACAGCCCACAAGGAGCATAATCACACGTACACATACATACACGGGTTTCGCAGCCATCAGAGACATAGGTTAGACAACAACTGCCTCCCTAAACCACCAACACAAAACACAAACAACGCAGCCACAAAGTGCCTCGGGCACCATAACGACCACCCGGACAACCTAAAACAATGACGACAATCACCACCTAGGCGCACGGTTCACGCCCCATGCACAGAGACAAAACACAAACAACGCACCATCTACAGACACACAAGCTGAATTCCCACCAAAGCCCCCAAGGGAAATGGGAAATCAAGCCCCAAGACTAGCCTTAGACCTTCACACCATCACCACCATACCTCTCTGGTAACGACTCCGTTTACCTGTCTACCCTTAGCAACACACAACTAGATGACAAACAACAAGACAAATGTAAAAATAATCTAAGCCCACAACCTGAACGAAGTCATGTGGATTCCTAGAGCTAGTATCTGTGTCAAACCCTAGTTCCTAATGTACCTGCACGTTTTATCTGTAACGCCTCTGCGCAGGCAACCATGAGCTTCCCATGAAACATGAATGACTACCTGCTTGTATCTGCAATGCCAATTACAAAAGAAGCATTTAAAACAAACCCGCTTTGCGCAGGCAACCGAAGGAATACTGTGTTATATTAATGTTGCAGCCCCTGCGTGGGCAATCAATTGCCTTGTTATAAATCAGTTTGATGCCTAAATTCCTAATGTGCTTAAAAATAAAAATATTCAAAACAAATTGTACAGAATGTCCAGGATAGTTTTCCAGGGACAAATGTTGTCGCCTGTTGAACGAGGTGACCTTGCTCGGGTCCCAGGTGTGCGGTTCCTAAAATGGCTGCCATATACACGTCCACTGATAGGAGACGCGAAAGGTATTAAACTGATCAGAATAGTACTAAACACACCACTCCTATCTGGTGGCACATTAGATTGCACGCGCAGTGCCCCTATGTAGGGGGAACAGTCTCTATTCCGCTCTTTGTCAGTGTGTATCAGGGGCTTTGAGGACGGGGAACAGTCTCTATTCTGCTCTGTGTCAGTGTGTATCATGGTCTCTGAGGACGGGGAACAGTCTCTATTCTGCTCTTGCATTTCTATTTCTTCTTAGATAACAAAAAAATTCTGAGACGACGTTGGCAGGGCTATTCACTTGTGTGATCTGTCATGAATTGTCATTTGAATGTTAATTTGAACTGTGGGGCACAAGAACTTGAATCTGACAAAATGGCTGCCATATACACGTCCACTGATAGGAGACGCGGAAGGTATTAAACTGATCAGAACAATACTAAACACACCACTCCTATCTGGTGGCACATTAGTTTGACCGCGCAGTGCCCCAAATTTGAATTAAGAGGACCGACCAAGCATCTTCTTCCATCTCCCTGTTACAGAAATCACTGCCATATCCATACAAATTGTACAGAATGTCCAGGATAGTTTTCCAGGGACAAATGTTGTCGCCTGTTGAACGAGGTGACCTTGCTCGGGTCCCAGGTGTGCGGTTCCTAAAATGTCTGCCATATACACGTCCACTGATAGGAGACGCGAAAGGTATTAAACTGATCAGAACAATACTAAACACACCACTCCTATCTGGTGGCACATTAAATTGCCCACTTGTATGCTTTGTTCTGTGGACTCACGTCACCCTTAATGAGGCGTTCTCTCATTTGGTCAGTTTTAGACTCAGGATAGTAACATAAAGTAGAATAATGCCTGGAGCATCATCTTCATCTATAAATTTGACGATTGCAAATGTATTTGCTTCTGCCATATCCAACTTTCACAGAAAAGTAACTCATTCTTATGAAAAAAATAAGATAAAGTATACACAAAATAAATGATGAAAGTAATATTATATATCATGTACCCTTGCCTTCATTAAAAATGCAGTTAAGAAATGAATGAAATTACATAAACTGGATAGATTAATAAAACTTGCAGATTAGCCACTTCCATGCCATGTAATGGAAGGGGTTAATGCTCCCAGAGTGTCAGGTGTGTATTTTAAACACAGGACAACCCCTTGATTGAAATGCGTCCTTCCATGTTTCCAGTCAGGCCCTGCCCCACCAGCCGTGTTGATTCTTAATGAGTTGAGGGATCTCTTCCCTTCACCTTAGCCAGACGGCTGGAGACCATACAGTGCAGCCTTATTGCGGCCAAAGGCAGGCGAAATACTGCTTAAATAGCAGTACTGAGCTTTAGTCAACCTCACCTCTGATACGGTTTAAGATCCTTTCGCCTGCCATTTGGATGACCTTGCTCGGGTCCCAGGTGTGCGGTTCCTAAAATGGCTGCCATATACACATCCACTGATAGGAGACGCGAAAGGTATTAAACTGATCAGAACAATACTAAACACACCACAAATAAGGTTTCTCTCCTGTATGGCTCTTCAAATGATGCTTAAGATTAGAAGCGACTGAAAAGCATTTCTCACACTCAGAACAAAAATATATATATTTTTTTTCCAATTGACTTTTTATTATGCATTTTCATATTATGGGTACAGAAGGAAAAAGGGGGGGGGTGGAAACAATGTACATGTTCTTGCATTCTGTTATGTTACATCCAAGATTCCTGTGGGGGGGGGTTACAAAATAACGGGGGAAAAGCATCGGCCCTTACGGCCCAGCATGTAATTAAACAATCACAGTACACCTCCCTCCTTTGTTGCTAGAAGTGTCATACCGTTCCAGCCGGTGTGTTTGCTCCGTCTGGGTGTAACTCTTGTCTTGTACTTTCCCTAACACAACTATCTACATAACTAGTTACATAACTATTTACATATTGGTATCCGTCTACTTTGATTCTCATTCTCTCTGTTGCCCCTGGTTTGTGCGTATGTCTGGTTTCTACCCCTGATTTGTGGCTGCGATTCTTTGGTGGCTCACGTTTTTTTTTTTCTCTCTCTTCGCTTCTTCTCCCTGTCTCCCGCATCTTCGCCCGGCTGTTCTCTAACCACTTCATGTGGTTCTCGTCACCTCTTCCCATCTGTCTCTGGCTTGTTTTGCCTGGGCAGATGCTCCAAATTTGGCATTTAGTTTGGTTTCGTACATTAAGTTGGTAGAGATTTGGGTCAGTAGTGCAACTTTTTCTGGTCTGGTGGTTTGTTTCCAGGCCCTTGCAATCAGTGTGTTTGCGGCTATTAGGATATGGAAGAGTAGTATCGCTTGTGTCCTGTTGTATGTCTCCAGGGTCATAAACAACAGACCGCATTCTGGCTGGAGGGGGTTCTGTGTGTGTCGAATAATGTCTCCTACTTCTTTCCAGTATGGTTGTATTTGTTTACATGTCCACCATATGTGGTACATACTACCTTCCTCCATCCCGCACCTCCAACACAATTTTGACGTATGTGGATATATGGTTGCCAGTCTCGTTGGCACCATGTACCACCTGTACTGCAGTTTCCTCATGAGCTCTAAGTGTGCTGCGCATCTAGATCTCCCTTTGTGGGCTATAAAGGCTTTTTGCCATTGGCTGTCAGTGAACTGTTTATGTAGGTCTTCGTGCCAGTGCTCCTTGAATTTGTCTTTCGGTGGTGTTTTAGGATTGTCGTTTAGTGTGGCGTAGAGTAGAGAGAGTGTCTTTTTTGGTATATTGCCCGTGGTGCATATGTGGTATAGTTGTTTTAAGGGTGTGGGTATTGTTGTTGTGGTCTCATTCCCCAGAAGTGCTTTTATTTGGAGGTATGTGAACAGAGTGGCATTCGGCAGGTGGTATTTGTGTTTCAGAGTGGGATATGGTTCTAGTTTGCCTTCCTTGTAAAGGTGTTCTATTCGTGTGCACCCTCTTTGGGTCCAGGGGCGGTGGTCTAAAGTGGGATTTACAATGTGCAGGCTCTGTATTGGGGTCGCCATCCCCCATCTTTTGGTTTGCCCTAGGAGTTTTGTTTTCGAGTCCCATGTATTGGTAGTAAATCTTTGTGTTTGGGTCTCAACTTGTGGGGTACCCAGAATATGTATTTTATGCCCCCCGCATATATCCCTGCAGCCTCCATCTCTGCCCATTGAGGCTTGTTTCCCCCTGTGTGTAGAGTGAGACTAGTGGACAGGAGGGCGGCTTCATAATACAGACGGACGTCTGGTAGGCCCAGACCCCCTTGGGAGGTGTGTTTGCTCAGGATTGCTGACGCCACTCTTATTTTCTTGTGTGCCCATACAAATGATGTGTATATGCGTTGCAGCTTGGTAAGATATTTGTTTGGGAGAAAATCTGTAGTGTTCTGATGAGGTATTGGAACTTGGAGAGTAAGACCATTTTCAGGGCAGTCATTCTACCTACCCAAGACAGAAATTTGTGTTCCCAGCTTTTTAGTGTTTCTTCGCTTTCCTTCAGGAGTTTGCCATAATTAAGTTGTAACAGTTGGTGAGGGTGTTTTGGCAGTTTTAATCCTAAAAAAGTGATGTAATCCCCCCTCCAGTCGAATTGGAAGTTGTCTTTTAGTTTGTCTAGCGAGGTTTGAGTCATCCCTATCCCCATGGCCTGTGTCTTGGTGACGTTCAATGTATAGTAAGATTGATCTCCATACTCATTTATTTCCGCAAGAATGTTTGGAAGTGAGATGTGTGGCTGTGTGATTGTCAACATAATGTCGTCCGCAAACAGTCCTGCTTTGTATTCCTTCTTCCCCACTTTTATCCCGTGTATGTTGCTATTTTCTCTGAATT